AAGTCCCGGGTCTGTGGCTTCCACGAGGTGGTAGGAGAGCCAGGCGTTGCGCCCCGAGTCCGCGTCTATTGCCACCACCTTCGTGATGAGAGAAGAAGGGGCAGTAGAGGGGGAGATTCGCAACTGGGTAGCGGAGTCCTCCCCGGCCCTGGGGAAATGCACCTGCGGGGCATTGTCATTCTGGTCCACTATAAAAATGTGAACCAGCGTCCTGTTCCTCAGGGCCGGGGAGCCACCATCAGAGACCTCCACGTGGAACTGGAGATAGGTGGTTTGCTCATAGTCAAAGGGGAGTTTGGCAGAGACCTGCCCACTTGTGGGATGTATGGAGAGGTAGCGAGTCGGATCCAGGCCTGGATCTGTCCCACCAGCTCGCAGGATGGAGTAGGAGAGGCGGGAATTCTGCTCCGAGTCAGGGTCGGCAGCAGAGACTGTAACCAGCACGCTGCCCACAGGGTTGTTTTCTGCCACCAGCACTTCGTAGAACGCTTGCTCAAACTGGGGCGCGTTGTCGTTGACATCTGCAAGAGAGATTGGCAAGATAGTGTGGCGGGAGAGCGGGGGACTGCCCAGGTCCGAGGCAGAGATGGTGACATTGTAATAGGCAATGTGCTCCCGGTCCAAACTGGTGCTGGTTAGCAGCGAGTACTGGTGCTCATAGTCCTTTCGCAGCTGGAAGGGAAGATCTGGAGACACGTGACACTGGACTTTGCCCTGCTCACCAGAGTCCCTGTCTCTGACGTGTATCACAGCCACCACTGTGCCCGGGGGTGCGTCCTCACTCAGGGAGCTGGAGAAGGAGGTAAGAATGACCTCGGGGGCGTTGTCGTTCACATCAGTGATTTCCACCACCACGCTGCAGTGCTCCTCCATCGTGGGCGATCCCATGTCCTTGGCCTCTACTTCGATCTCATACACCGTCGCTTCCTCGAAGTCCAGGTCGCCCTGAACGCGAATCTCCCCGGTTTGCTCATCGATGGCAAAGATCTGGCGTAAAGCAGCTGAGTTGTGGCTGCTGAGGGAGTAGCGGATGTCTCCGTTGGGCCCTTCGTCCACATCGGTGGCATTTAACTTCACCACGAGGGTGCCCAGCGGCGAGTTCTCCACCAAGCGGGCTCCGTATGATGGTCTGTCAAAGACCGGGTGGTTGTCATTGGCATCCAGGACATGAATAGTGATGCGTGTCTTGCTGGACTTGGGGGGAGAGCCCCCATCTTCTGCGGTCAGGACCAGGTGGTGGAAAGCTCTGAGTTCCCGGTCCAGGGCCCTCTCCAGCACCAGCTCAGGGAACTTCCCACCATCTGTGCGCGCCTTCACGTTGAGGTTGAAGTTCTCGTTGGCACTCAGGTGATAGGTCTGCAAGGTGTTGGTGCCCACGTCAGGGTCCTGGGCAGGCTGAATGGGGAAGCGGGCACCCAGGGATGCCAGCTCGTAGATGCGCAAGGAAACCTCGTCGCTGGGGAACTCTGGGGGGTTGTCATTGATATCCAGGATCTCCACCTCGATGCGGTAAAACTCCACTGGGTTCTCGATGGCAAGCTTCAGGTGGAGGAAGCAACGGGGGTTCTGCCCGCAGAGCTGCTCCCGGTCTATCCGCTCGCTGACCATTATAACGCCGGTGTTCACATTGACCGAGAAGTACTGGGAATCC